AGATAAAATATATTTATCTATATAGAAGATATACATTTGATTTTTTTTTTAATTTTTTCGTTTATTATAAAAAATATAATTTTTTATTTTTAAATATTTTAATCCCGCGTTTGACGCAGGACAAAAATTTAGTATATATTTAATATACAAATAATTATATGTACATTATGGCCGTGAATGTTATGAGTTTTAGGTTTTTAACTAATTCTATGGGCCAATAAAAACCATTAAAAATCAACAGCCCAAAAGATTTTTTGTTTGTTTTAATTGTTCTCTTCTACCTCTGGCTTACATTTGTTTTTCCTTGTCTACGTTTTTTCCTCAAAAGAATTTGATATGATAGGCCTCATTTTCTATTTTAGTTTAGGCCCCAATTTTTTCAGGGCCGGTTCTGATGGTAATGCACTCAACGTTGAGTAGCCATTTGGACGATGTCAGGGTTCTCTAACCTGAACACGAGATCCACTTTTGGCATTGGCGGCGTTTGATGTGCCTTTGTGATCGTAAGCGCTAGAAACAGCATCGATGTCGCAATTGCAGCCGCTGCCGAAATTTTGTTAGTGTATGCCATGATAGTTTTTTAACTCCAGCGAAAAGAAAGGTTTTTCTTATCTTTTTAGTTCGAGTGACTATTATTAGCTCGTTTTCTTTTTTTCTGAAAGTACATTAGCATATTTTTCTTTTTAAAGAAAACGAGCATCTTTGCGGTAACTAAAAATATTCAAAATAATCAGAATAACCTGTGTAAAAAAGCTTTGCGGATGGACCATATCATAAATAAATTGGCGAAATCTTATTGTTTATTTAAGGAATTGAATAATTTCGGGTGGGGCATTTGTGAGAACCACTTTTGTACAACCTATGCAAAAACAAGCAACCAAGTACTAATTATATCTGTAAAGTTTATTTTCAAGTAATATTAATTAACCGGACAAAACTTTGAAAATACCATTATATCTTTATGAAACAAACTTTTTTACTTTATCAGACAATTCAAATTTAGATCATATGTTTACTTGTGTAAGCCATGATCTCACTTCCTTTTTCGTATGTTTCGTTCTTAAAATTACAACCCCAATATCATATAGGATTCTTGGGACTGGGAGTGTACATTATTAATGAAAAAAGAAAAAAATTCTTTAAAATCTCCACTATGATTTTCATAAAATTTCTTATGAATTTATGTTTTAGAATTTTAGTACCCTAGTATATATCCTTTTTTTAATGATTAGTATTACGAATTTAGGATTATAAGATATTAGAAATAATGTGCCAATTTTCCTATGATCCTAAATTTCTCCATGAGTTAATGTTCGTGTAATCAAATTATCTAATTTTTTTATTTTTATTCAAGAATTTATGTCCATATAACTATAGTCAATATTGTACCCTAAAATACTAATTATTTCTTTGTAAATTTGCCCAA